AGAGACCCATACCTCTGTTAGCCAGTAGCAAATTTCTGAGGTCTGGAGCAAGCCTTTCTGGTAAGCATATTGATGTCATTGTGCTTTTATCTGAAAGGAACAGTAACTTCAGTAGCAGTTTGAATTGTGAATTAATAATGAAATATTAGGGAAAAAAAGGGATTTTTCCTTGTCTGCTGTTGGAGAATGCTTTCTTAAGTGCATCAAGTTAGCCTTTTTTTTTTACTTCTTTATATCCACTTTAATTATGTTTGGCAGTATTCCTTCTATACGTTCGCTCTTTGTACCTACTTCAAGACCTCTAGAGAAAGAACAAGAGACCAAGTCATGATGTAGAAAAGCAGGCAAATCTCACAGAGTCATTCTGTGGACTTTTACAAGGCACTATGGTATCCCAAGGTGCTGGGACATCTGGAAAGTTTACTAACTAGAGGCTGCTGCATGTCTGCCAGGTTGGCTTTGGTGCTGGACTGTGGGGGAAAGTATTCCTAGCATCAGGTCATACGTAGTTAAATAGGTCTCAACAGCCAGCATGACGTTTCAGAGATGTGAACCATCAGATGGATTAGCTCAGCTCTCAGAGAACTGCAAATTGTAGACGTGTTACCAGTCTAACATCATCAGCGTTCACAGCACTTACTGTTTCAATCATAATTTAGATGGAATACTGCTGAAGAGAAGTAAGGCTGGTATGAATCTAAAAGATTATTATAACCGTGAAAAGATAGTTTTAAGAGCATAAGAACTAATGAACCCCATTTCCCTCTGGATCTGGGTGCAGAATTGTGATCCCATGTGAATTCCCCAATGATTAGTAAGGCTGGGGTTCCCTTTCTTCCAGAGAAGAGCGATGGATTAACAGCTTTGTCCTCTGTTCTGATGAAACTTGTATGAACGTTGTTTCACACAGGCCCTTACTCTTCTGTTGCCTTTAGAGTGAAATTGCCAGTGGAATGAAATATTACTGGCAGACTCTTGGATAGGTGCACGTACTTACACACATGTAGTGATAGTAGAAGATCGATCTTTGGGAAACCTAGCTAGGAAGGAATTCCAATACAAGTTTCTTTAAATCTAGTAACATTCAAAAATTGCATGAAATAGCTGCACGTATTGTAAGGGAGAGCTTAGCTGAAATCTAATTAACAGCACGTAATCTACTCTGAGCTGGAAGTCTGTTCCTGAGGAGTTTAGAGCTGAAGTGTCTATTACTCACCTTTATCACTTAAAGCCACTCAGATGACTGCAGCATGTCGCTGGGAAGAGGCTGTTTCTTTTGCACTTACCAACTTCCAACAGCAGATGGCAATGGACACAGGCTCCCATATATAGCTGCACTTCTCCAAACCATGTCTCTCATAACCTCTGCTTTTTCCTTACTGACAAGATATTGGTCTAAAGTGAGAAAAGTGAGAAATGTGTTCTGCTTTTTTTTTTTTTTTTCTTTTTGCTAAAAACACTTGGAAAAAATGGAAAATATGCTAGCTGTTCCCAATCACAGAATCACAGAATCACAGAATCACAGAATCACAGAATCACAGAATCACAGAATCACAGAATCACCCGGGTTGGAAGGGACCTCAAGGATCATGTAGTTCCAACCCCCCTGCCTAGCAGGGCCACCAAACACACACATTCAGATCAGGTTGCCCAGGACCCCGTCCAATCTGGCCTTAAACACATCCAAGGACGGGGCATCCACAACCTCCCTGGGCAGCCCGTTCCAGGGCCTAACCACTCTCCTTGTATAGAACTTCCCCCTAACATCCAACCTAAATCTTCCCTCCTTCAACTTCGATCCATTTCCCCTAGTCCTGCTGTTGTCAGCCCTTTTGAAGAGTTTACTCCCCTCGTGGGTGTAGGTTCCCTTCAGGTATTGATAGGCTGCAATGAGGTCACCCCGCAGCCTTCTCTTCTCCAGGCTGAACAAGCCCAACTCCCTCAGCCTGTCCTCATAGGGGAGGTGCTCCAGCCCCCTGATCATCTTAGTCGCCCTCCTCTGGACCCTTTCCAAAATCTCAATGTCTTTCTTGTACTGAGGGCTCCACACCTGGACACAGTACTCCAGATGGGGCCTCACAAGAGCCGAGTAGAGAGGGACGATCACCTCCCTGTCCCTGCTGACCACCCCTCTCCTGATGGAGCCCAGGATCCCATTTGCCTTTCGAGCTGCCAGAGCGCACTGCTGGCTCATGTTCAGTCTCTCGTCCATCAGGACCCCCAGGTCCTTCTCTGCCGAGCTGCTCTCAAGGACCACTCCTCCCAGCCTGTACGGGTGCCTGGGGTTCTTCCGGCCCAAATGCAAAACCTTGCACTTTGCCGTGTTGAACCTCATTAGGTTCACCCGAGCCCAGCCCTCCAGCCTGTCGAGGTCCCTCTGAATGGCATCCCTTCCTTCCACCGTATCAACCAAGATTTGGTTTAATTCTCTTTTGAGGCTAGAAAGTAGTTTTAGTCTAAATCAAATGTTCCTTGCAATCTTGTGTGTCAAATTCGGTTTTCCCTACCAGAGTCAAGTGGTTAAATGGGCTGGAAGGAATTGTGTTGAAGGCTGAAGATGCTGGCTCTGGGATGAGATATTGCCAACCTGCAGTAAGGGCCTCTTGTCTGTTTTTGTGTAACAGCCATTAGCCATTGCTGCCAAACCTCCTGCTGAGAGCCCCTGCCTGTTTCCTCACTCTGGATGGTGGCTGGCTTTCAGCTCCCAGCACAGTCAGGGCTGGGTGCATACTGTACAAAACCTGTACCAAGGCTGGGGTTCCTGGAGTTCCTACTGGTGCCCTGTGTTGGAGGACTCATGGTATGGTAAGTTGGACCCTGCTGTTTTGGAACATGCCCCACTGAAGGGGTGTTGCATTGTTACAGTTCTTTGTAAATGACCCATCCTCAGCCCTGTTCCTTTCATGGGTTGGTGCTGTGGATTTAATTTATTGCAGCCCGCTGCTATTATCTGTGATTGAACAAACTGGATGACACACAAATTAGAAACTATGCGTATCCAGATGCTAGGAACCTACAAGAAAAAAATATTTAAGACCTCTAGAGCAGGTCTTTGATCTACAGAAGGCTAAGTATGCTTTATTATTTTATCCTTTATTATCTTGTTTCAGTGTTGCATTGCATTGGATGTTGGCTCCACCTATGAGCCGACTGATCTCACTGCTGTAGTGGGAAAGAGGGGTTGTAATATCTCTATACTACTGGAACTGATGTGGCCTTCCTGGGAATATCTTTGGGAAATCAGTGCAAAAACTGTTTTTCACGTCTTACAATACCAATGTACAGAATGTGTTGCTTTCTTTGAATTTATTTCCAGATATAAGTCTTTGAATCTATTATATTTTGGTTGCTACTTCTGTTTTCATGGGCTTTCTTTCTACTCTGCCCTTGACTGTGTCCAATCAGTTGAACTAGTTTGGCGTTTCTGAGCTGGAGAGAGGTTAACAGGAACAGGTTAGCATCTGAAAGCTTTTTTCCCTTTTCTCTTTTGGTTTAGATGATATTGAGTGTTACAGTTAGGTGCTATTTCTTAAAAGTGATTTGCAGACTGCATTTGATGTTGGGTCCCTTTATTACTGATAGCAGCAGATAGATACATATATGCAAAGTTACAGTTTTGACCTTAGGCTGAAGGTACATTAGACCATCAGAAGAGTCTTTGCTGGTGTTTCAGTACCTGTAGCACACAGTGATCTCTTAAATGTCACGGCAACTGTTCCCTTAAAGGTTGAGACAATTTCTGTGCTCCATTGAAGATGGGATGAGATTGAGACCTTGGAATCCACAACAAAACTGATAGACTCAAGTAGCCCACTGGATTAGCCATGCCAAATGCCTGTTGGCAGCTTCATGTTTTTTGTAATAAATGCATTGAAGTTATTCCCATTCTTAGGCATTTATCATTCTAGACAGTTTCTAGACTGTTAGAAGGTTTGCTGCAGGTAGGAGATGGCTGACCTACTACTCCTCAGCTGAAGCAGGTTACTGGGGCTCGGCTCCTAGCCTGGGTTTATGTTTGGCAACATGCAGTGGTGTTGGCCTAATCTGAGCTCTGAGAGTGGGAAGAGCCATGTATCCAGCACCACTAGTATGCCTTGAGGCTTGGCTATGTCTTCTGTTCTTCATCAGAGTCAGGAAATCTGTAGGACCCTGTGTGCAGAACTCTTGCTTGATCTGTTCCCAGATCTCTGCTAGCTCCCGGGAAGATGTGTTGCAATTACTGGATACAGGAAATCTGAGAGCCAAGAAAACAGTCTGCTTTGGGTCTGGGGTATCCTGTAGCAATTGCTTGCAGGAATTAAGACATTTTCTGATTTTAATACAAAATTGCAGATGGCATAGTTGTTCTTATCAATTTCAACTTTGCTACTTTGTGGAAATAACAAAATTCTAGTTAGGTCCAAACCTCTGATTCCATGGCTGGAAACTCAGTGGAGTTTGTCTCCACTTCCCTTTCTTTCCTTTGAAGATCTTGGCCTCGCTGAAGTATTAGTTGGCTTATATCTCCTTGAATGATATCTCATACATGAAAACACTTTTAGTAGAACTATTTTGAAATTGTGTGTTGATGCAACAGTTATAATCTTGCAAAAATTATTTCTTCTGGTTTCTTTACACTTTTAATACTTAAATACTGTGACATGATGACTACTCTGAGTCATTTTACTATCTTGTTTGGAAATATGTTGCCAGGGGATTATAGTATGTGGCTAAATTTTATTCCACTTAAAAAAGACAAAAGCAAATGCTGGAAAGTTGTGAGTGACGCATACTGTAGAAATTAAGGAATTTAGTAGTATTCTAATCGGAATGTGTGAGTATGGGTGCTTTTTCATTTATTTGAGAGTTTGCTTTGAAAGCCTAGATCTAGAGGTATTCATTGGATAGATACCTTACCTTGAAAATCTCACGTTATGTTTATTGCAGTTATTCATAGCGAAACTGAGACGGAAAAGAAACAAGCCTCAATACGTTAGTGTACAGCAACATTATTGCATACATTACTGTACATAATACAGCCAGTAAACAACATTGAAAAGAATAAATGTGACGGGAAAGACCATCCTGGACCACTTGTCTATGGAGTTGACATCAGTCAAGTCCGGTATCTTGACTCTGATCTGGGATGCCCTCCTTCGCAAGTGCCCTTTCTGATGAAGCCTACGCCTGTCCAGTGCACTCCTGCTGTAGGGTGCCCTACCAGAGAGGGCCCTTCTGTGTTGCTGGCCAGCACCGTCAGATGTGTGGGCCTTGGGGAACATGGGGCCTTGGGCAACACGGCGGCTCAAGAACACATCCGAGCTGCTGACATCATTTCTTATGCTGAGTGTGCTAAGCAGCATGTCTCCGTGGGGCTCAACCTGTGCCAAGGAAGGAATATCAGTTAGGATAGGTTCCTCAGCCAGCCCATGCTGTCTCACAGATGGATGGTGAAAATAAAATGTTTCAATCTCTGTCATTTTTATACAGTTTTAGTGCTGTAGGTTAGTTTCAGAAAGAGTTTTTGTAATGTTAAGTTGTTCATATGAAGAACATGTAGGTATATGAGCATTATACCAGTTATTGTATAAAGCTTGTGATGAAGATTAATTCTGGAGAATGAATCTGTTGTAGAGATGGAAATCTCTCCTCCACACAGCATACCATTAATTTGCTCATCTGCAAACAGACTAAAAATCCATTTTACTCAAGGAAATCTTACATGCAGTTGCATTTTTTTATGTTGTTATCAGAAGTTGTTATTTCAATTGTGTTTATTTGTGCTGTTGTTTATTACATTGTTCTATGTGCTTGAGAAAAGAACTGGAAACTGCAACTGGCATGTACGTGGCTGGCACAAGCTGTGTTTCAATATCAATGCTTTTTTTCATGTGCAAGTGACTGAACGTAAATGGTTGCATTACTACAAAGGGTTTACTTTTTCACTCATCTTTGGATGAAGATCTTTACTACATGTTTATAGTAAAACCTCGTGAAGATTTCTAAGATATTTCAAATTCCCAGATATTTAAACTTCCACTTTAGCTCACAGAAAGGGAATACACAACAGAAAACAGACCTCTTACATGAAACTTTTAAAACTTGGCCTTGAGACTTGCATGATACATTTGCTTTTGTAAGCTGTGGCCTTCTGCCTGCCCCAAATATACCAAGTCAAAACCAAGACTGAGTGCAAATATGTTCATACAAAGGAAAAAAAAAAAAAATCACCTGTTGCCAATATGTAGCCAGTGAAACACCTCCGTGATATGCCTCACTCTGTTCATGCTCTGGTCTTTACCTTTTTAGCAAGAAGTAGAAGAGCTAGGGATTGGTGTAACCTACAGAAATTTTGAAGTACATTCAAGGAAAACTCCAAGTTGAGCACACAGTCTTCAAGAACTGTGGTGGAAGACAGCTGGAAGGCAGCATGAGATGTGCCACTCTAAGTCCTTGCTCACTGAAAATGAAGAAGTGAGGGAGATGTCTGTAAAGAGCTTTCTAAAAGGAGGAATGAAGCTGCCACAGACATAACATTCACTCATTCAGGTTTAGCAACTGATTCTTCACAACACTGTGAAATGAGCAATCACTGGGAATGTCACAGCTCCCACCACCTTGCATATTCTGGGGTAGGGAGGCCAGCTGGTCCCAGACCCGTGTGGTTGCAGTATTCATTTGAGATATGAGTCAAGTCTATTAAGCAGGAAGATGCTCTAAGCTAGGGTTTCCTATTCTAGAGGAATCCTTTAACCATAAATGACTATAAACGACTCTCAAATTCTGACATTTTCTGTGGAAAAAGCAAAGGTCTCAGATTGCCGTGTAAAATTAGATTTTTTTTTAATTCTCAGAAGTTTTTGATGGGTCAACCTTTTCTCCTCAGTTTTACCAAATAGCTACCTGAGCTGTCTTTGATTGCATAATCTAATGTGTAAGCTAATTTACTTTAGTGCTGTAACAGTGGTGACAGCAGTGCAAGCATCATTAGGCAGTATTATTACTTCTCTCTTGTGAAGACAGCACATAAGTGTTTACAATTTAAATTGATTCACAGAGATTTTTCTCAAATTAATATGCACTGACAGTTTATTACAAACCAAGCAATGTATGAGTTCCTAAACTAACTGTTATGAATTATTCCATTTTTTTTTTTAATGGGTTTTATTTAGATCATTTTAGGTGGCATGAGTTGTATATATCATGAAGCAATTCAGACTTTGAATTGCAAGCTTTGCAGTTCGGAGCAAAGAGCCTTACAAATGCCAAGGGCATCAAAAATCACGTAGTTTTTGCCATTTGAAAGTGTGCATAAATGCGACTTCCTGAAATATCTGTAATGTTTAATCTGTACTAATTTAGCATGGACTTCAGGCTAGTGTGCTGGCAGTAGTATCGCAGAGAAGGGCTACGCTAGAGACCCACAGATAATGTTACCAACCTGATCAGAGATGCGTCCTATTTATCCATAATTACATTGATTTCCTCTGTGACATCTTCCTTTGACAAACAGACAAGGAGATAGAATCAGTTTTTACATTTTATTCAGAGAAACAGAAAGCTTGTTTTATACATTTTCCCCTGTGTATTAAAATATAAAATGATATGCATTGTAAAACTAGAGTGGTCTTATTTTCACTTTCTTCAGTTTATAGTGCAGAGAACCTCTATGTGCAGAACAGCAGGATGATATCAGTTACTCAGTGATCTTTTCTGTGCTAATGTCCAGATCAGTTTCCTCTTTTCCTCACATTTTGGTTAGTGTTTTGATTATCTGGTGAAGGAAGTCAAGCTGGGAGGGTTGCATGTCAGGTGCAAACAGTATCTTCACCTGGCACAAAGACAGAAACCACAGTTACTACCTTTTGTTAGTTATAGGTCCCTGCCCGTATATGCAATACGAGTTAAGAGTAAAAGAGGATAAATATCCCATAGCTGTGCATACTTACAACTGTACTTCTTTTGAGTTCAGAAGAGGCTCTGCCCTGCTCTGGTACAGATCATCGTAATATCACTGAAAAATCTCAAAAGCTGATGGACAGCTGAGAACTGTCTTCACCTGGATCAGACAAGCTTACTGTGTCCCTCTGGCTCCAACCACGTACATTCTGCCTGCCAAAACCAGAAGTACTGCTGTTGAACATCAGCATTACTAAATAAAGTGAGTGCTCGCAAGGCCACATATTGGTGTCTCCCAGTAGAATAACTAAACCCCCTAGTATCTGTTCAGATGCCTGTATCTGCACATGTGTATTTCTGTATGTGTGCATATAAATTGTCAAACCTGCAGTATACAGACAGAAAGCAGTCTGCTCGTTCTCAGTATCAGAATGGAATTGCACCCTAAAGAGTCAACACTACTGAATTATGGTACAAAATGTCCATACTTCACATTTGATCTATCCCATTCTTGGTATAATCTCTACCAGCACAACATCTAGACAAATGTGCTTCTTTATGAGCTAGAGCATTTTGTGATTCAAACGAGCTAACCATATACAAAGGAAAAGTGCTCACCTGTGCTGTGACTTTCTTATCCCAACTCAGGTGTGTGCATTGCCAACACATCACTCTTCATTGTGAACACTTGTGCTTTGTTTCACCCAGGCTGGGTTAGCGTAGGAGCTGTGAAAGAGTCTGGTTCCAGTTTGTGGATCTTGTTTTTCTTCTTCCTTGTTTTCCATAGAAACAGATTGACAGTATCTGCACAGAACAATCCATAATGGAAATAATGATCCATATTTCCTCAGCTCGGTGCAGGATAATATTCTGTGGCCTTAGAGACTGCTACAAACCTGAGCTGAATTTTGCAACTGTTGTAATAGAGCATCTTGTGTACTGGACCAGGAGGCAAATGAAGGTAAGGACTTTTAATGAGCTCATGATTTTGCTGGGACTGATAGCATGGTGCTTAGCTGCAGTGGTGTGACTGCAAGAACACAGAAAATCCAGGTAGACACACAATTCCAGGACTAAGAAAACATCAGAATTTCAGAAATGCACTTCTTGACATAAGTGTAAAATTACAATAATCTGGTAAGAGCGTTTTATGTTGGTCTTATTATTTGCTCTAAACAGAGAACTCAAATATTTCATCCAAAAGTGATGACCTCAACAACTGCACAGAAGCATATGAGATAGCTTGGATGGGATCCATCCTGATGGAATATGTAGTCAAAAATCAGAGAGTAGAAAGAATTTTTTTTGGTTCACTACAATATGTATTTTTCACTGAGTCAGACTAGGTCAGATGTAATTAAGGAAAAGTTTACTTCTGAAATTTGGGTGAAACTGGAATAGGTTTATAGAAGTCTGCAAGTGTTCAGTGACATATTGGAAAATTTAAAATTTTCCTGTAAAGAAAATATCAGGTTATTTTTTTGTTTTTTTGTTTGTTTGTTTTCTTTTCTTTTTTAGTTTATATACATGGAAGAGCAGATGTGATCTGCTTGAATTTAGTCTGAGGAAAAAAATCCTAACATCTGTGAGAGCTGTTATAGTCTGGCAGAGTTCTCCTTGAATTCCTGAGAATTCATTGGTGTAGGCTATGTTTGAGAATTATTGAAGAAACAGAATCTATCTTTGCTTTCTACTTTTTGGTGATCTTTTAGTGTATAAAAGGGAATGGTATAACAAATGTTTATTCTGTACCACCTTCCATAGCTGAGTCCATCTTTACAGTCGAAGTTGTAAATGTTTGACATTCTTGTACTCCCTTTGTTTTTTCTGTGCTGCAAAGACCTGCATGTTCTGAATAGTCATTTACATATTCTGTAGTTTCTTACTCTGTTTTCAATTGAAGACTGAAACAAACATGCTGCAATGTCCTTTAAAATATTTTTTCTCTAGGCAATTCTAACTGCTTTTGCATGGATGTTACAACTGCATTTCTATCATCATATTCAACAATACTGTCACAGCAAAAGTCAGGTTTGAAATGTTAGCTTGAACATTTTACCTGGATCCTATGTGTTTCCAGTCTGCTCTTCTTGCCTGTCTCTCTGCCTGCTGCCTTTTTTTGACGCTGGGGTCCTTTCCCAAAGAATATATAGTTTACAAAAGCATATTCCAGCAAGGCCAGAAACACAAACACAAAGCATCCCATCAGGTAAACATCAATTGCCTTGACATAGGGAATCTTTGGCAGTGTCTCCCTAAGGTGGGTGCTGATGGTGGTCATGGTCAGCACAGTTGTGATTCCTGCAAAAGAAAGAAGTGGATATTGGTGGGAAAAAATGGTGAAGAAGATATGAGAATAACAGTGTTGCCCACCATGCACTTGTAATACTGATAGCTTAATTATGTGATCAGATCCTTAACATCTAAGGGAATGCTTTTCCCAGAACTGAAAAGATAGATGTCACTGGTGGGAACTTGCCCTTCCTTACCTTATGTATCTTTCTGATCCTATGTAGCATAAACAAAGAATTCAGATGTAAGTGTTGAAGACACAATGTATTTATATTGTAGTGCTAGCTGACTTGGATAGCAAAGTCAACCACTATGTGAAGAAATAATTCTTCGTTTTCTTATGGCAGTAGCTCTGCTTGACCCAAAGACTAGATTACATTGTCCTAGGAAAAGGGATTAAGTAACTAACTTAAGAGTGCAAGCACAGAATTGAAAGAAGGTAGTGTGGCTTTATAGTAAAATGATCTTTGGTAAAGAGAAAGTGAAATGCTTTTGTTAATACAACTTTTGCTATTAAAGGAATGCTCTGAATTAAAGCCTTTCACAGCATGACTGTGTTACGCATTTTAGTGTATATATTTTTGTTGTTTTTAGCTGGATGAAATTATTTTTTAGTCTGCTCTAATCACATTTTGTTAATGCATCTAGATAATAGCCCTAGACACAAATGTGATTAGTTGACGGGCGTCAAAATAGAGGCCCAAGAGTGACGGGTCAAAATAGAGGTAGGACAAAATGGTTACCTGGCATTATGATTTGAAAAGTATATTGTAGTGATTTACAAAATAGCTTACCAAGAGCAACTCTGGCTGCAGAGGCATCATAATTGATCCAAAAAGATACCCATGACAGAACTGTGATCAACGTGGAAGGCATATATGTTTGCAGAATGAAGTAACCAATATTTCTCTTAAGCCGGAAGCTAAGTGATAACCGAGGATACGCTCCTGAAAGAATGAAGCCAAATAATGAGTGATGCCTAAGAAAAGTTAGATGTTGCTATCTGGGAGAAGCTTTGTAAACTAGCTGATGCTTACCTGTTGTGAACTCCACTCTCTTTGATACCATCTTATAATCAACGATAGAAAATTGTGGGAGCTCAATGTTACTAACTCCAGTTACTGCAGACTCTCCATTCCAGTAAAATTCAATATCATCAGTAGTGTATCCATCTAAAACAGAGACATAGTTTGGCTATTGATTTTTCTTTTAGGTTTATTACTTATCTTAAATAGTTGTGTTTGAAGTGGAAGAAGCTGCTCGTGGCAAGGAGTTCAGTTTCATGTATGAAATTTCTGCTCTGCAGAAGCCACTGCCTTCTTTGTGCCCACGGGAAACTTCTGAGCATGGAAAAAGACAAGAGAGATAACAGGGAAGAAATTTAGATCTAGCCAAAAAGGTCTTTAATCTTAATCTTCAGGCTGGTGAGCCTCATCTCTCTCCCTCAGAAGATCATGGAACAGATCCTCCTGGAAGACATGTTAAGGCACATGAGGGACAAGCAGGTGATCCACGACAGCCAGCATGGCTTCACCAAGGGAAAGCTGTGCCTGACAAATATGGTGGCCTTCTGTGATGGAGTGATGGCATTGGTGGAAAAGGGAAGGCAATCAGTGTTATCTATTTGGATTTCTGTAAGGTCTTTGATGTGTCTCCTGCCACATCCTTATCTCTAAATGGGAGAGAGATGGATTTGAAGGGTGGACTATTCAGTGGATAAGGAATTGGTGAGAATGTCGCAGCAGGAGGGTTGTAGTCAATGGCTCTACATCCAGATGGAGGCTGATGAGTGGTGTCCCCCAGGGGTCTGTCTTGGGACCAGTTGTCTTTAAGTTCTTTATCAGTAACATAGATTATTAGATCAAGTGCACTTTCAGCAAGTTTGTTATGATGGCAAGTTGAGTGGCTCAGCTGATATGGCAGAAGGAAGGGATGCCATCCAGAGTGACCTTGATAACCTCAAAAGGTGGACCTGTGTGAATTTAATGAGATTTGACAAAGTGCGAGGTTTTTGTACTTGGATCAGAGTGATCCCGGGTATGTATGCAAACTGAGAGAACTCCTTGAGAGTAGCTCTGCTGAGAAGGACTTAGGAGTCCTGGTAGATGAAAAACTTAACATGAGCCAGCAGTGTGCACTTGCATCCTAGAAAGCCAATGGTATCCTGAGCTGCATTAGAAGAGCGCTGGCCAGCAGAGTGAGTGAGGTGATCATCCTTCCCTACTCTGCCTTCGTGAGACCCTGAATATTGCACCCAGGTCTGGGGCCTCCAACACAGTGAAGTTGTTGAGCTTTTGGAGAGGGTCCAGAGAAGGGCCATGAAGATGATCAAAGGGCTGGAGTATCTCTCCTGTAAAGACAAGCTGAAGGAGCTGGGCTTATTCAGTCCGGAGAAGAGTGGGGGAAACTCACTACAGGCTTTAAGAGGAGTTTTAAAAGCAGTATTTAAAAGGAAATTATCAACAGGATTATAAACAGATTATATGCAGGAGACTATAAACAGGCGGGAACTGCTTACATGGACAGATAGTGATAGTACAAGGGGGGATGTTTTTAAACATACAGAGGGAAGATTTAAATTAGATGTCAGGGGGAAGTTTTTCACTAAGAAGGTGGTGAGGTGCTGGAACAGGATGCTAAGAGAGGTTGTGGATGTCCCATTCCTGGAGGTGATTAAGGCCAGGATGGATGGGGCCCTGGGCAACCTGACCTAGTACCTGATCTAGCAGTTTTAGACCAGGAAAGATGATTCCAGAAGAATTCAGAAACCTGTACTATACTCTGACTCTGTCTGAGCTGTAGTTACCCCCTTGGAATTCATACAGCATTTTATATTTTAACGAGACCATGCCATCACTGATCTGCAGTTAACATACAGTATTTCCTATCTATTTAAAAACTAGTACATTTCGTCTCCGTTCTTTTAACAGTGATGACTATTTTTCATTTAATTAAAAATTAATCTGCCTTTCTGCCATTGTTAGCATTTTGAAATATGTTTCAATCAAGCTCAGTAGTGGCTGAATTTTAAAATCTCCCAGTTGATGACGTTTAGAACAGATTTCTACTGAAGGAGAGAAAAACATCTCATCTAATTTTAGACTTTTCCTTCAGGTGTGAGTTGTAATCAGGTTTAAATCATATAACACAGATTAAATGGAGGAGTTTGAACTCAAAGTTTTAGAAAATGTGACAGTGGCACAAACTATAGCACCAGAAGCCTCTGCAGAGTTAGGAACTTGACCACATGTGTACTGGTGATGTCTCTTCTAGCTAGAGAAATCAGACTGGAGATGACTTTTCCTATGGTAGTTCCTCATCTCTGGAAGGTTGACCACATGCAAACCAGATCTGTAGCTACCCTGGGGACAGTTGGAGGAGACAAACCTTGCTGCTGGGAAGGATGGACCACTGAGTGAACAGCAACTTCTGATGCAAAGTGGATTGAACAAGGTTCAATCTTATTTGTGAGGTGTTCCATAGCATGCTGATGAAACTATTTGCCAATACATGTAATACAGATTACTGCTGTTTACTTAAACTTTCAGTGCTACCCATTGCTTATGATAATTGATTTGCAGTAACCCGCATCAGGTCCTCACTGCTGGTTGGCTTTTTGGTGCTGTCTGGCAGAAACCCAGACTCTCCTCATTGACAGTGTTCAGGACAGCTGCTAGGTGTGGGGTTTCAGTGACAAGGCCCACACACCATGAGGCCAGGACAAGCCTGGTGTTGGATGTGATGCCAAGTCTGCTTAAAAATGCCAGGGAACTCTTAACTTCATTTTCATGCAAATCTTTATTTTAAGAATGTCTCTTGAATATTTCCCAAGACCCTGTGCAATAGAGGAAATGGCAAGCTATCATCTCCTGCTGAAAGCATATTGACTATCTGTCACCTTGGTACCACACAGACATTCTGTATGTGAGCTAACAGGCATAGTTACTATTTCATCTTTAGGAGCCAGTGCTAGGAAGAAGGGTGCAGGAACAACCCAAAATTTCATGGGTACTTGCCTCAGAGAGCCAGGGCAAGATTTAGATGTGAGAATCAAAGGATCAGCTTCAGGGCGTGGAGGAAGGTGATGAACTTGATTCTTCTACCTTGTACTATCCCCCTTTCCACACTGCTCCCTCCAATTTCTCCCCCATTTCTGCCTCTTGTCAGGTCTCAGGATGCACTGGCTGAGGGTAGAACAGCCTCCAGTGCTCAGAAAGCTATGGCTTTGTTCCTTTCCCTGAAGGGCGAATTTCTATTTACTTGTTAAGGCCAAACCAGTACCAAATAAACACTAGAAATATCAGAGGGCAGATCTCAACAGTGAAAAACAGACCTGTCTTGCTACTTAAGGACTGCACCATGTTGCCAGTGCAGTGTGTAGTGTTGCTGGTCTTCTGCAAAAAAAGTTTACCAGAGGTTGTAACAGAGGCACATGTGCTTCTCATTTCAAACTTCTTGGATAGGCAACTTCAGTGCCTCTGGCTAAATTGCTGCTGCTGCTGTGGTAGAGTTACAAAGCTGTAAACTCTGTGGACCAGTACCAGAAGCCTTGCATGGAAGATTTTAGCTGCTCACAGACCAACCCTGATGGCAGGCCATGCCTTTCAACTTTACAAACTTCCAAACAGTGCAAAAATGAATCTGGAATGCTTCTAACATGCTGATTTGTCCACTGAATTTCCTCCAGTTAGAGCTTGGGAAATTAGGAGGAAGAGTCAGTGATAATTTTCATTCAGGGGCATTCAGTTCATTCATGCTTGCATTTAGAAGAGTAATGCTATGATTCTACGATAAAGAATCCAGCAGGAACTCTTCCTGCCAGTTTTGTCTCTGATGCCCTATGATCTTTAATGCCTTTCACTATGTGCATTGCACTTTTCTCCAGGTGTGTGAGAATCATTGCTCTCCTGTCTTATTCTGGCTCACGGATGCGAGGCTTGAAGGCTGCAGGTACAGGTATAAAATAATCTCACAAATGCAGAGCGCGAAATGAATCCCACTGAACTGCCCTACCGGCACAGGTTGATCTCATTCAGCGCAGTGCATTCCCCCAGAGCGGGGCCGCCGAGGCTCCCCAATGACCACCAGAGGGAGCCCGCTCACCGCGGAGCGCTGCCTCTGCCCGCGGATCCTCCGCAGCTCCCCACGGCCCTCCCGCCTTGGTCTCCTCGTTAATCACAGATGATGACGGCTTTTTGTTTGTTTGTCTTTTTTTTTTCTTTTTTTTTTTTTTTTCTATTATTAAAAAATGTTTCTGTGAAAATTATTTGTTTAAGCCTTTGTTTGCTTGCTTGCTAGATTCTTCAAAACCATTAAAATGCCAGCTATGCTGGGGTTTGGTTTAAATAACATCTGGAGAGACAGGATAAGAAGCTTTCAATACTTAAAAGAGGGGGACTATAAGAAAGAAGGGAACAGACTCTTTAGCAGGGTCTGTTGCAGTAGGACAAACAGTTTGGTTTCAAACTCAAAGAATGGAGATTTTTGTTGGATATAAGGGGGAAGTTTTTTACAGTAAGGGCAGTAAGGCACTGGAACAGGTTGCCCAGAGAGGAGGTGTGTGCTCCATCCTGCAAGACGTTCAAGGTCAGGTTGGATGAAGCTCTGAGCAACCTCACATAGCTGTACGTGTCCCTGTTCACTACAGGGGAGTTGGACTGGATGGCCTTTAAGGGTCTCTTTCAACTCAGAAGATTTTATGATTCTATGAAAATATGTTCTATTGCTCAACTCCAGATATTAAACTTCTGCTTCCTAGAAAATAATGTCTAGGAATGGTAATGCAGTCCTTCGTGTGTCAATGCTTCATTTTGTTTGCTTCTCGACCAGCAGCTGAGAGCTTGAGTGAAAACACTTAAGCAGAAGTACCACAAGTCTAGAAAGTAACTGGATTCAAGCATGGCAATAAGTAGATTATATATAAATCTTGCTGATTGCAGAAAAGAAGTTTTAGAAATGTTGCTGACACTGTGATAAAGCAGAGGTTAACGGTGTATTACTTGTTAATGTCACCAGGCTGTTCTATTTTCTACTCCAACTCTTACCTCTCAAATACCTCTGGGATAAATAAAGATTTATATTACATTAACTTCACAAATAAAATCATAGTTGTACTCATATCACCAAATTCCCCAGCGCTGTACAAATGGAGACATTTTTCTGTCTGATTCTC